CTCGCCGAGGCGTTCGGCGAAGGCTCCATGCTGTTTGCATGATGTGTTCTCCTATGGTCGGCAGCGGATGGCTTAACCTCGGTTTTTGCAAACCCGTTACAGTTCCCGGATCGCAACCCTGCAGAGCGAAACCCGGCATGCGATCCCGAACCCTGGACTACTCTTTAGCAGTTTTTGCCTTGACTGGCCAGGCCTCTGCTTTGCGAGTCGATTTCGTCATTCGAACACAAACCGACGGCTCGAAAAGCTGCACCTGACGGATCCTCGTAAGCGTGGTAGTCACAGGAGGGGAAACTGCAATAATAGCCATTGTGGTCCTTTTTGCTATTGTAAACTATGTTGATTATACTTATGTTTTGTGATGAGTAGTAGAAGTAGCAGCAGTTGCTGCTGCAGTAGCGGTTGTAGCAGTAGCAGCAGCAGGAGCAGTAGCCGGCAAAGCAGTGGTGCTTGTATTGTTTTCTACCACGGCCAGTAGCGAGCAGCAGCCTGCAACACCCAAGAACTGCAAGCATTGCAGTACAAATCGCAGTTCGCTTCGTAACAACACAGCGAAGCTAAGCATCGGATCGAGAGCAGCCATGTGCATTGAGTTTGTAGGTGAATATAAATTGAAGGATTCAGCGTACTTCCGCAGAGCCCCTCCTCGCCCCGAAACGTACAATCATGTCCTGCAGCGATGAACTTAAGCATTGCACCGTCCTGGACCTGCGCCCGCCGCCCGCGGATCAAAGACCTCGCTTCCTCATCGTGTGAGAAGTCTTCAACCAGCAAACCAAACCCCAACACCTTCAGCCCCACCCTGCCAGCCTACCGTTCGGTATCACAGGCTATGGAGATATGTCCGAAGCACTTGCCCGCATCCAGGCTTGAGTCGAGGGCTTTTGGCTTTTTGTTGCAGGTCAGCTCAAGACAGGTCGTTCAACTACTGCAAAGTCACGTCCTTTTTTGATGTTTTCTGCTTTCGCGTCAAGAATCATCTGTATACTTCCAGGCTCCGAAATGAAAGTACCAAGCCGGCTCTCATTGTGACAGGGGAAGAGCGCAAGCAAGCATGAGAGTATGATAATAGTCAGAGGACGGATTTGAGAATGACACGTTCCGGCCTTGTAGCAGCACCCGCAAGAGTTTCGCCCAACCTCGATAGCGGTGAGACGCTCGTCCCTCTGCCCCCACATCACGGTAGTCACCGTAGCAACGAGACCTCATGGAGCCTTGCCTGCGTGTAGCGAGTGTGCGAGTCGAACTCGATAGCCGGTTAGAAGAGCGCCTGAGTTCTGGGTATCCAGGTCCAGTATGAAGAATGTCTTCGAGTCTTGGATAACTCGTAACACAGGCTCAGGGTATCTCAGGGTTCGTTTCAGGCGGGAGGCCGTGGGCAGTTGGGGTGTTGCGTTTTTTTGGGCCATTGGTTGAGGCTAGGTGTAAGGGTTTTGGGGTGATTGTCCTCAAGTCGTAGTATGGCAGGACGAGCTTTCCTCGTCCGGCAGCCCAGAAGCAGTGGCCATCGCCGATCGGCAGCTTGGTTGCATCGTTATTCTCGGGCTACTCAAGTGAGGGATAGAAAAGCAAAGGGAAAGAGTAAAGACGCCATCGTTGCTGCACGATGCCTACTGGTTGTTCAATGGCACACCTGCATCAACCTACATAGAAGCTTCTTGAAGTACGGTTCATGATAGCGCGTGTGGCCTGGCATGAACCTGTCGATGTCAGTGCTTCGGCACTATAGAAGGTAAATTTCGGTAGTTGGTCCCAGACAGCCCTCTAGGAGGCCTTCAGCCCCTTCACGAAGGTTGTCCCGACACGACAAGCCAAAGCTTGCTTGCCATGAGCCTCGGGATGCGAATCATCTTGACAAATCTCGCTGTGCAGCCTCATCTAGGCTCCTAGAAGCCTGCCCGATGCCGCGTTGCCGTCGCGAAACCCTCGTAATTTAGCCGAAACCAAAAAGTGTTCGAAATTCCGCACATTTCGAGTATGCAAATTTGAAGTATGGGCTGTCTACTCGGACCGAACACTGATCGCTGAACCGTAGATCCGGCTCTGTCAGGATAGTCTTGGTGCCCCTTTGTAGCTCGGACTCGGGCGCTTTGCCTGGGCCTACGGAGGCTGCGGTGCTTGCCCAGGCGGGTCTTTCCGGGAGTGGGCAGGGAAGTGATCGAGTGCACAGCGTTGGGTGCCGTGGGAACGGGAAGGATGAATTTTGGTACTGCTGAAGCTCGCACGTGACAATCTTGAGAATCTGATTGATAATAAGTTCCATCACGTGAAGGTTCTCTGAGAATTAGTGAGATGCTGCCGCAAAACCCTGATCTCCAAAGCATCCCCGACAGTGAACCCAGGAAAATGCGCACTCACACACACCCCCGCACACACAGACAGAGACACACACACACACAGAGGCGCGCGCACACACACAAGCGCATTTCAAGTGCAAGTTCCTGTGCCACGCCCTGGTTCTAGTTTGCTGCGACGGTTCGCTCGAACCCTCCTGGCTCGTCCGAGAGCGGCCAACAAGTTGACCCTGTTCGAATTGGGAGTTTCCGAAAATTAGGGGTACCTTATTTGGGTCCTTATAATAAGGATCCTATTATTTGGGGTACTACATTACGATCCCTTAGTTTCGGAAACTCCCAATTGAGTTCAAGATGCAACCGTGGGGCAAGAACGGGGCAAACGAACTGATACACACCCTCCCAAGGGCAAGATGCCCCATGATCTTCTTCTCACATACTGCAGGCTTTCTTTGGCCAGATTTTCGCTTTATATAACATGCGCATTCGTGCACTTTAGGTTCTTCTCCCGATCCTAGGCCGTAAACCCAGACCGTTCACTTGCAGTGGGAGTTGGCATGCAATGGGAGTTGGCAGCGAAGACCCTACGGAGAGCCTTCAGTGGTATTCCTCGCATGAGGGGAGCCCGATTTTATACCTTGTAAGGGATGTGGTTGGAAGCCGAGACGACACCCACACCGAGTTGATTATCAACTGTCAGAACTCTGAACCTGTGCTGCCGACAACAAGATGACATTCGAGGAGTGGCAAGTCGCGAACTCTCCCCTCATAGCCGTGGCCGCTTGTCCAACATCCGCACAGACCCGAGTTGCTGTAGCTGCAGTACATCATAAGCACTGTCACCCATGCTGGGTTTTTTGTCATCAGTCGTATATCAGAACACTCACAACGATCATCCCCGGTCCCCACAGCGGCAGACGGATGGATTCAGGCGAGAAGCATCACCAAAATTTCCTGAGCCCAGAAATCGAATTTCATCGCTCTCTCTATAAATATCTGGAGTCCCGGTGAATCCAGTCTACCAGTCTAGCATGGACCCCAAACAGAGTTCGCAGCTTGAACGATTATGCGAGGATCCTGTGGAGAAACTAGTGACCTTTGCGAAAGGTCCTCCAGCTGCTATGATACCGAGAAACTTCTGGATGGCAGCCTAAGCCCGAACTCCGTAAGCATCAGCCTGAACAACTTGAGCGAACCCAATGCTGCCAAGTAGGCCTTGCAAATTGGGACGCGTTCCCTTCAGACTTGAAGGGACGAGTCGGTCTGTGCTGTGCGTCCGAGTTGCGTGCAGCGACCAAAGATAAGTAGGCAACGCCGAGCTGAACTGAATCCTAAACCTAGGTTAACGGCATAGCGCCGTTTAGTAGTTATGGGCTAATTGACGTAATTTAAACACCCCCTAAATGCCCAGGACTTGACTCTGCCCGCGCCCACTGCAGAAGAGTGCCAGCTCTTGGCAGACCTGTGGGTGCCCCGTGGTTCGGAGGCAGGTTTTTTGCACCCAGAGCGGCGGTATACAACGAGTCTGACTCAAGTAAGTTACTTCTATGCAGTTCGAAAGTTGCTTGGACCTGTGGATGCAGCGGATGCATGTCTGAATAGTTCAATGTGCTGTAGTTCTACGGTCTGTCACTAACAAATTTCCGGTGACACCAAGGCTGCGGCTACACCAAAAGCGCGTTACTACAGGTCTTCGAACCACCAGTAATAAGAGTAATGGCATCCCCTCATAGTCCCCGCCCATAGGGTCGTAGTATAAGATGCCTCGAAACCCTCTCAGTTAAAGCGCCCCGCCGCTAGAGTTTTGACATCGGAGGCTGCTTCACAAGCGAGCAGCCAGTCGAGTTTGTCGGATTCTGGTTTGCAAAGCACGCATCGACTGGTCGCCTTTGTGTGCTTCATGCAGCCAGGCTTCACGTGGAACAGGGTTTTCGTCAATTTCATAGACTTTAGTATTTCAGTGCGTTGTTACAGGGAACAACGAGATATCAGGAGTGACTATTCAACAGCTCAGAACCTAGAATAATCCCATACGTTCTGAGTCCTGAATCTCAGGCTGAAACACCCGAGGCCCTGACCCCGAGATGAATGCAGAGTCATGAGGACCATTCCATCCTTCGACTTATACCGCGTGTTTTGCTTATGTTGGATTGGCAACATTGCCATCAATCTCCATACCCAGTCTGTGTTGTCGCGTCAAGGATGAGGTTCGCCTTACTATTTCCGGAACCCTACCGGCAATCCATAAACCCGAAACCCGAGGTGGAACTTGCGACATTACGTCGCCTTCTGCTGCAGACAGAGCGACCCCAGCAGCTGCATCTTGGCACCTGACATGTACGAAGATGTGGTGCTAATGCCCGCTTATTGCCAATGAACGGTTTGTGTACACTGTATAATGTTGCCTTCGAAACCGTTTGATTTGTTGCTGGCTTGATAATGGTTTCTGTGTACTTCTCCTCACCTTTCTTCTCAGGTTTATGAGCCCTTGCAGTAGCAAGGTAAATGCACATGGTAGTAAAGTAGGCTTGTGGAAATGCTTGAAACATGATGCAACACTCTGCGGTTCGGCAGGGCATCTTTCTGGCTGTCCCACCTATATAAATAACCCTCAGTCTATTCAAGCCATTGCAACCTCAGCCAAGAAAGCAGACGTGCAAACAGAACCATTCCTCCAACCTCTAGCTTCCCGCATCAGAGACTGCCATGGAGACCGGTGATTTGAGCCCAGCGCCCGGCGCTTCGTTTCTCGGCCTCTTGGCCGTTACTCTCGGGGCACTGCTGGCTGCTGGGATTGCCTTTCGACGCGCCGCACGGTTACGCCGCGAGGGATCGGCGGTTCAGCTGCTGTCACGGCTTCCGCATGGCCCCTGCAAGGCTCGTTGGGGTTTGAGGAAGGGCCCAAGCACCCAAGCTCTGCGCCCTCAAATCCATGATTTTCTGGAGTGTATACAGCATCCTCTGCATTGTACCATGTGTGTTGCCGTTAAAATCCCATCCCCCGAGCCTCTTGGAGGTTTTGCGTTTAGGCATACACAAGTCCGTGCTTGAAAACGGCTTATACTTGCTATGATTTTTCTCATGGAAACGGAGAGGCAATTGGAGAGGCCTTCAAATGCTCAAACTGCATCGAAACCCCAGAGCCACTGGCAGCCAGACTTCTGGAGAATGCCCCCAACCGCAAAGCCCAAGACCCCATGGAGTCCGAATCCAAGTAGGGTGCACGGCTGCTTAGTGAACCCCCCACCAAACAGAATGCCCAGACGCTAACATTGCCAAAAATCCCTTGCCGCCGGAACCCAACGTGGCCGATAGGATAGGGGTCTGAGAAATCTGCGGCATCATTCCCTTACACAGTCCATATACATCTTTAGTATAGTATTCTGGAAAAACCTGGTCTAATTGCTAGGGCACCCAAACTCTACATCCCCAACTGAGTGCTTTTGCACCCCTGAAACGAATCCTTTCTAATTATGACCTGGTCAGGTCCTCTCAGGGTTCCTTGATCTTCCACAGCTGGAGGCTCGAGTCCATCTCTTGAGCCCGAAGTGTCTGCAAAAGTGCAGTAGAGGGTATTGGTTTGAGCTTTTGGGCTTTGCCGTTAAGAGTTTAGAGCCGGCATACACTCCAAGTCTGTGCTTAAAAAATTAGGATCAGATCTCCGATTCTTGGAAGTAGGTTGGGGAAGCTGGCTAAAATCTGCCATTGATGCCGACATACTTATCGTCTTCGACACCGCGCCAAACAATTTTGGCACTGCCCAACCACCATTGATGCTCTCCGTATCGGGCCTTGTAGTGAGTGTACCCATCCGAAACTGTACCCACCCGAAACTGCCATACACCCAGTGGTCTGTACTGACATATTGGCAGTTCCAAGTTCTTTCTCGGTTCTGCCTCCATCCACAACAGGCGTGATCCACAACAGCAGGGTTTTGTCTATCAGACTATATATATATATATATATATATATTTAGTATAACATACTATACTACCATATAACTTAATATACCAGAATACTTCATCGCAATCTTCTCTCGCATCCATTAAGTCCCTCGCTGTGGACCTCCTACGTTGAGTAAACGAAGGTCCTTGCAGAAGTGCGCCCTGCATGGGACTTCTCCACAGAAATGCAGCTGGCGGCAGAATTTCTCGAACGGCAGGCTTGTTTCCCGTCTGGAGTTCATGTAGGGTACAGGGCTGTGCCCCGATCAGTGGCATGAGTGGGAAGAGACCTGGCTTGCCTGACACCGGCAAAATCCAACTCAGGGGCCCCGATCTTTAGCACCCGAAACTCCGGGATGCCGTGTTGACTGCGTGGTCGCAGGGATCGGCTTTGCAATTGAGAAGGCTGTCTGGTCCAAAGATAGCTCATCGCAAGCATCTTCATAGCTCAGTGCCTTGTGAATGTAGGAGGGCTGTCGAAGCACTCAGCCAAAAGCCTGTTTGTATGAATGTAACCAACCAAATTCCGGTTGATGGCATTTGCGGACTTGATGCATATCTGATAGGTCCGCAGATTCTGTGGACTTCGTTTGACGATCCGAATTTGTTTCCTCAGTGGACGACAGCAGCAGAACACACGCAGCATCCATCTGCGTCATCAACAACATCATCGGCAGCGTCATCACCATCATCATCAGCATCATCACCGTCACCATAATTATGTTCATCGTCATCGACGCAGATCAGCATCTCCATACTAGCGACTGCTGAAACCCGAGGCTGGGCCGTGCTATGTGGCAGCGAGGTTTTTCAGCCTTTCGGGTCCACGAGAAGCTTCAAACTTCATGCCGCTTGAAGTCTTCGAACGTGCGTGGGCTCGCTGTTTAGGGCTTCGAGAGAGAGAGAGAGAGAGAGAGAGAGAGAGCCCAACAGGCAGCGGCCGTTTTTCTCCAAGTGCAAAAAGCGGGGGAAGGTGAAGCAAACACCAGTTTGTTGTCCGACGATGGGTGCAGGAAAGTTCTTTCTCGGCAGGTTGAAAGCATTTATGAACATGGCCGTCATAGAGCGAATTGCCAAGTCACAGGTGCCCGTTCAATTTCTTTCCCTTATCCTTTGCATTTCGTTGCGCGCAGATCCCTGTCTACTGGTCATACAGTGTCGTGCGCGTGGTCCACAGGAAGATGATCTGATTCTGAGAAGGAACGAAAGAGAGCTGTCGACCCTTCGATGGTCAACAGGCGTTGGTTCAAACGACGTAACCTTCGACCCTCCACGCGTTCAGATGACCGGAGCCAAGGCAGATCAAGCTTTCGCCATGAAGCCAGAACGACCCCAGCAGACCTGAAGCACCTCAACCCAAAATCGCAACTATGAAAGGGTCTTTTGCACATGTGTTGACCAGGACCAGGACTTATTTGGGCACTGTGAGGCCGAATCTCGCCCGTTTGCCGCCAGCCATGGCGCAGATCTCGACTGAGTTCTTGCTGCCCAATGGTGTGAAGATGAAGAACCGCCTCAGCAACTCTTTCTTGTTAGATAGGTTTCCCAATTGCCATCAATCGACTGGTTTCAGCCTGGGCTTTGTCATCAGAGTTCGATTGTAGCCGCGAAGCCTGTGCATGCTCAGGTAAAGCGGCGATGACGGAGCATATGGCTGATCCCAGCACGAACTTGCCTAATGACATGCACCTGGAAGCCTACAAGGCAGTGTGGCCGACAATTGTCCTCATGCTCAAGTTCTTGTGCGGTGTAGTCGACATGGAAACCCTCGGGCAGGCACACCACGGTCGCTTAACATAAAGCACAGGTGCCGGGTTCAGAGTCTATGAACTGGTGAATGCGTGCCAAAGGGCGCATACGTTGTCACATGAACGACGACCGACGTGGCAACACATCACCTGGTTTCGGGTAGCATAGCCGGCAATAGACTGGTGGTTCCCTGGTGGTTCCCTAGGCCCCAGGCCTTTCTCAACGATCGAAAGTTTCGGAATTTCGGAAGAACTTTAGCATCTCCAGCTCGAGGCTTGGTCGGATGGCGGTTTGGGCATGAACATCAGCGGAAATGTCCAAGTCGATAGACGTTATCTGGAAGCTCCGCGAAATGTGTCACTGGAGAAAGACACGCCCTTGGAGCCTTCCTAGAACTGGTGGCAAGTTTTCAACTTGCACTCTTTTTGTATGAACATGTAACTGTTTGGCACGTAGACGAGTGGGGGTTGCTAGCAGTTGCAGCCGGCCGAGGAGATGTTTCAGAAGTGGGCAGCCTCCTCGAAGAGAGACCGTGATGCATCAGACAGAGTGTGGATCTGAAGGTGAAAGAAATACTCATCTTTACTTCTTCAGGGTGGCGGCTCTCACGAATTGAAGCCCTAAATCCCTACCGAAGACCATCAGGTGCTATTCCGCAGACTATGGTATCCGAACGAATTCTCGACATGAAGCTGCGAATGCGCCACAAGAAACACTGAACGGGTTTTCCCGCCATCCCGGAAACCTCGACTCAAGCCAATTGTGTCATTACTCCGTTCCTTTGACCCGCGACGATCTCTGGACTTTCCCAGCCCAGACAGCCCTCAGAGCCTGAGCCCAATCACAGGAGGAGAAATCATGAAGTCCGACAGCCAGTCGAACTCCGCAATACTAGTAGTAGATAAGCCAGAGATATAGCCAGATAGCAGAGCAGAGGAGATGGATGCTTGGCGATCATGCAGATCAGCCATGCCGGGCGCCGCTAGCTCTTCCCTTGAGCACGGCTTTCTCTTTATGTGCAAGCTCGTGAAAGGTTGTACGTAAACTCAAGACTTGCCAAACCGTGCTTGACGGGAGGGTAAGCTGCATTGGCAGCGGCAGGAGTGCAATTGAAAGTTTGTATCAGGGTCCGAGATCCGAGTTTTCACGTAAACACAGCACATCCATGCAAGTAATTGTCGAGCTGTAATATGCCATGCCCAAGCAACTGGACAGAGCCGCAAGACTTTGCAACATCGGAAACAGCAGCGGCATCGGGAGGAGGATGGAGGAGGATAAGTAGTGGAAGCCTAAGTTCTACCAGGAGTGGCAGGAGGAGGGAGGGGGAGGAGGAGGAGGAGGAGGAGGAGGAGGAGGGCGAGCAGGAGGAGGAGGAGCAGTCTTTGCAGCTGTAGTAGAGCAGCAGCAGCACTAACGCAAGAGCCATGCTTTTGTTTGGTCGCAGTGCTGGCAGCGGTGGTCGGCGGTGGTGATGGTTGATTGAGGTAGTCGCACCAGCAGCGTAGCATGGCTGGAACCTGGGTAATTAGAGCAGTCGCAGCAGGAGTTGTAGCGTAGCCGATGTAGCCACGGCCTTTGTCAGTCGTACTATGTCGTAGTCGTCGTCATCGTCGCAAGTCTGCGCACGAAAAACGGTCCGTTGGCATGGTATTGGTGCCTGTAAGACCTGTACTAATCGCATCGTCGTCGCCGTTCCCGTGGAAGCTGGGAGGCTGCATGAGGAGTACTTGCAGCAGTAGTAGCAGCACGAGCAGACTGAAGGAAACCAGTATCCAGAGTGCTTCAGAGGGCCTCGCTTCATCTCTCGGGTTGAGGCCATAGAGAAGGGTTCAAGCAGTCACAGGTCAGTGCCCGAGCTCTGTCTGTTCCGAGCCGCTTTGCCCCTCGAGAATTCCCCTGAAGGACGGGTGCGTTCAGGATTCTCGTCTCGTTTTGGTTGACATTGACTCCCTCTATGTTTTGTCTTAGTCTTCGACATCTCGCACGCAGAATCTCAAGCCAGGGGTCGAAATCTAGTCGACAAAGCCGACTGCACGTCACACTTTAGGCTCCAGGGCGATCGCAGCCTGTAGCCAGCTCCACCCATGCTGCTGTTGTCCAGCCACGAAGCCCTGAAGGCATCAGGCGCAATGCGAATGTCGCTTCAAAGTCACAAGCAGAGGCACTGAAGCTCTTAAGTAAAAGACGGGTTGTCCTTCTCTACGCCCAAACCAAAGTTCGAAGGAACCGGCTCTCGAAGAAAACCGTGTTGTAGCTGTGCCCTGTAGTGCGGCATGCGACCTGTAACCTGTCAACCTCGCCTGGCACTGCCAAGTTATAGCCCGGACCAAAGGGGCCAAAGATCCCCATCCCAGGAATCCCAAGCTTACAACAAAACACACTACGGTTTCCTACGGCAAGCTAAAAGGCCAATCTTGAAGCCACAAGCCCTTCGCCACGAAGGTCCGAATGCCTGTAACACCGAAACCGAAAAGGCTCAAGGCGACCACACGCTGAGACGCCTGAAGAGTCCCGGGTTCCTCCCAGCAGGTCCCTGGAGTGCCCTCCTTCTTGGCGAGCTTCATGGTCCGAACGCCTCGTGAGATGACGATCGAAGCCGCTCGCCGGTTTCGGGCTCGCAGAGCTTTGGTTAGTTGGGTCCATGTCCTCCTTGGAAAGTATATATATATATATATATATATATATATCCTGTAAACCATGAGCGCCCTGCCCGTGATGTTCGAGGAGAGTCCAGCATAGTCCAGCCGTGCGCACTGTCAAACAACAGTGACTTAGACAGTCTTCTAGACTACTCACACGTTGAAGGCTGCCTGTCGCCAGCGATTGACTCTCGTTCAGCAACCCGACCTTTCGCGTTTTCTGTGCCATCCTGAATGTCACCCTCAGCCTCATTTACGCCCGAAATCCAGCAAAGTCCAAACCCAAAATTAGAGCTGTTCCCACTGCCCAAAGACACTTTTGTCCAATACAGCGCTCCTACAGAGCGGAGGAGATCGAAGAAGTTGTCGAGCGCTTCGCCACGACAGCCCAGAGAGCTGAGGAAGCAGGACGCTGTGAGTTTAGCGTGGAGTTTTTTTTTTAGGGCCGGTTTTTTTTTGGAGTCTTGGATTCTTTTGAACTCAGGTTTTCGGGCGTAGGGCGGTGGGTCAGCTGTAGGGTTTCTTGAAGCAGGTGTCCTTGTGCGGTGTGGGTCTGAGGATGAGACAGCCTTCCATCAGACTCCGTAAGGCCCTAGGCTCTCAACCCCAGCTTGAGGATGGGATGGAGTGCAGATCCACAGTGCGCATGGGTATCTGCCACTTGACTACGTGCCCTTGGTCCTGGGCTCACATCTGTTGTAGCTGCTCTTTGTTCTTTGATCGGTCTAGGCAAGCATGTGTTCAGCCCATGTCTGACCACAGTTTCTGGCATTGAGAAGTCCATGCAATGATATACAGAATTTCGGCTTATGACACACTGCAGGATGCCTGAGCAGTCAGTTTGCAATCGCGGACCCTACCTGCATATTTTTCAAGACCATAGCCGTCTGAGCCCCACCAGCTCCACCCGTAGTGAAATTTTGCACGAGCTCTTTGGAGTCTACGCTGCTTGCAACCTCTTACTACAAGCTAATTAGTTGGAACTGCGCTTCACGACAATACAACTATAATGGACTTTGACGTTAGGGATCGTGGCCCAGCCCTACAGACGCTAAGGACACACAGGCCCTGAATGAATCAAAGCGCTCCCCAACTCCAAAAGCAAAGCTAAGATTATCCTCGTTCTTGTCGCCGCACACAAACCGCCGGACCGACGCCTACGGTGGCAGCTTGGAGAACCGACGAGCCTTGGATAAGTTTTGAAGCTTAGGGGGGCAGGGGACCGGGAGAGTGCACGATGCAGAGTTTCGGCCAGGATTCATGGGCTTTAGGATTTTTGACAGAGTGGTCAGGGGGCCCTAGAGAGTATTGGATGCAAAGTCCGCTTCACGGGTTCTGTTAAAAGGGAACTGGAGCTCGGGTGTTCCTAGGCCCAAACCCTGGTCCTACTAAGCCATAGCTACGGCCAAAAGGTTCAGAAGCCCAGAGTACGGTGGAAGTCTGTCAGGCTTGGAAGTCT